TTAGTTTAAGTTATCATCATCAATTTATACACTTTCAGAGTTGAAAAGAGGGGGGAGAAGTAAGACAGAAGACAGAAAAATTGATTAACAGAAACAGTGTTAGCTTGTAGGTTCACATGGCAACTCCAAAAAACAAAAGCATAGACAAAGGACAACAAATTTACTACGATTTGCCGAAGCGATCGCAATCAAACGATTTAAACCAGACTTATGCATACAGAGAGTGTGATTAACCTCTCACTCCCTTGGTAACTGAATTTTGATTTTGATTAGTCATCTAATTCAGTGATCTCAACTCACTGAGCAAATCTCAATCTTATAAACTGTAAATGCTTTTGTTTTTTGGAGTTGCCATGTGAACCTACAAGCTAACACTGTTTCTGTTAATCAATTTTTCTGTCTTCTGTCTTACTTCTCCCCCCTCTTTTCAACTCTGAAAGTGTATAAATTGATGATGATAACTTAAACTAAAAATTGTAATGCTTTCATTCTTTTTTGGATGCGTCAATTTTATCTCTTCTCTACTACTACTCAAACATTAAAGTATGTTATTATCATTTATATAACCATTGTAATTTCAGGTAGTCTGCAGCTGATGAGAACCTGTGAAATAGAAAGATAAACTATTTACTGGTCATTTAATTTAAAATATATAAATATACATATATATACAAATATATCACTTTATATTTAATATGATCTGAAAATGAAGGCTGATGTGACGACCGCCTTGTCCTTAACATCATCTCGTGAAAGTTTCCAACACATGATTGATTTCAAGTCATTTAGAAGCTGTTGCACTACTCTAGTATATATATGAAAAAATATCCATATAAATGGAATAAATAGAACTATAAAATAATATAAATTAGGGTAATGACATGAAATCAGAATTCTGTAGCTTACTGCGGTGATTATCAGGTTAACAGAGAAGGAGGAAAGATATCTGTAAAATTATTAATAGTCATGTTTTGATATCAGGTAACCTTTAAGTGGGAGTTAAATTTGTGTTTCAACCCATATATCATGATATATCATTATATCTTGATACATTTGTAAGTTCTAGCCATTTATCTCACTATCTTAATTCATTTTTTCCATTTCATTTCACAGCCCATTGAAGGTGTTTTTAATATTGTACATAGCAGAAAAACAATTTGAAGTACAGTTACTCCTGAAAGGTTAATTTATTTATTAACTTTTTTTGATGACAGCTTGATTTCACACCGTATTTTTCGCTACAAGTATGGAATTTTCAGCATGTGACATCGGTAGCCCAAATTTTGCAGGCCGACCATAGATATCAGGTGTGCATCGGCAGGGTATCGAACCCCGGACCATGTGCATGGTCGGCGAGAGTCCTAACCACTGTGCCACCGACGCACTTTCGGTTATAGTATTCCTAAATGCTTCATATTTAATTGGGCCATAAATAACTGTTTATTTTTTATTGGATAATTGATTTTGATGTTATTTAACTTAGTCAATAATAATAATGCTTCGTTGTTGCAAGATGGGAGCAGTGTCCTCCTTAAGCCAGTTTGTAGAAACCTTATAAAAGACAGCATTCAGTTTTGAAAACTTACGAGAAGTTTTCTAAAGGTATCTAGCATCATTCCTACAGTAAACATACCCTTCGAACGATAGGACAAAATTGAAGATATTGACATCGCATCAAGTACTGAAACCAGTTTATCAACTGCATATTACCTCAGAATTTTGAAATAATGGAGGAGATTTGTAGTTCAGGTGGATGGTTTTGATTTAGTTGTGTTCTCTGAGTTGGCTGATTTTATTGCAGAGCTTTCGTTCTCCTTGTAGACAACATTGTCAGAGAAGATTTTAGTATGAAATGAAGTGATTCGAATTCTCCATGAATGATATTTATTTGTATGCCTTGACAACCATTGTCATGGCTAGTTGTTAATTTACGTCTCTATTGATCATTTTTATTGACTTGGAACGTCAGCTTACCTGTGGTGTGATTCATATTTTATTAGTTACTAAATTTAGTCTATAGTAATATGTTTGTTAATCGCTGAAGAGAATGGGAGAAATATAACCAATAACCGTCTTCAAAAAGGTTGAATACCCACAGAATTTCATCAAAAAGTATTTAAACTCAAGTCGTAACACCGACAAGAAACCACCGTCAAAGTCCACAGCAAATTTCACTTTACCATATATAAACAATATCTCTGAAGTAGAAAAGAAAAGGCGTTCAGCAAAGAGTTACTCTTTTCGGTGATATCATTCTCAAGCTGTACAAACCGCAAATCTATAGTAATTTTTCTTGGCAACAAAAGGGATATTTCCAAAGATGTTTTAATGCAATTGTTAATTTTTGACAACAAATTACGTAATTCAGAAGGCGTTAATCGGTTAGAAACTAAAATAAAGTTACAAAAGTAGGTTGGGTGACGTAATCTAATTGATAGGGTTCAATGAAAAATGAATGAGAGTCAAGTTAATAATCTGAGTAGAATTCACTTGAAAATGAATGAGAGTTAAGTTAATAAGCTGAGTAGAATTCACTTAAAAATAAACGAAAATGGAATTAGCAACAGTCGTCATGAGGGTAGAGATTTAATAGAGGGTAGGGTAGAAAATAATGCAATTAAGAAACAGACAAGCAAAGAAGAAAGAGGTAAGACAAAATTACGTATTTGGTGTTGAGATAGATCAGGACCATTGTAGATTTAGTGACTGAACAAACTTCTTTTGTATGCAGAGTTCAGGATTCAATATGTGAACTGCCATTGCTTCTGCAGTTTGAAGAAGTTTAATTCGTACTCTTTTGGCAAGATTCCCACATATTGTGTAGATAACTGAGTTGTTTTGTGGGTTTGCTTGGTGTCCGGATTCGATCAAGTGTTCTAGGATAGAGCTGTGGCGGGGGGATCTTCTTTCTCCTTTATAAAACCATGAAGGTAAGTGTTCGCTGATTCGTTTGGATAGCAAACGCTGGGTACGGCCGACATACCTAGCTCCACATGAGCAGGTGAATTGGTAGATGAACGTCCAGAAATAACTAAATAAATAAATAAATACACACCTAAAGAAGATAATAGATAACTTCGGGTTCTACAAGAGATACGTGGACGATACTTTTATTATCGCCAATAATGAGGAAAAATTTGGAGAACATATTGGACTTCTTCAACAGTTGCCATCCAGCAATCCAGTTCACACTAGAGAAGGAGTCAAACGCAACAATATCTTTTCTGGACGTGCAACTAGCAAGACGTGAACAAGATGGGACACTCAAAAGATCCATTCACAGAAAACCGATATGGAATGAACAACTCATCAGCTTTCACAGTTGGGTGCCTCTTCTATAGTTTCCGGACTGCAAATGTTGTGGATTCTGTGAGTCAGTGAGAGGATTAGATTTCGTTTTGTATATAGAGGCACCCAACTGTGGAAGCTGATTAGTTGTCCATTCCATATCGGTTTTTTGTGAATAGATCTTTTGAGTGTCCCATCTTGTTCGCCTCTTGCTAGTTGCACGTCCAGAAAAGATATTGCTGCGTTTGACTCCTTCTCTAGTGTGAACTGGATTGCTGGATGGCAACTGTTGAAGAAGTCCAATATGTTCTCCAAATTTGCCAAGAAAAATTACTATAGATTTGCGGTTTGTACAGCTTGAGAATGATATCACCGAAAAGAGTAACTCTTTGCTGAACGCCTTTTCTTTTCTACTTCAGAGATATTGTTTATATATGGTAAAGTGAAATTTGCTGTGGACTTTGACGGTGGTTTCTTGTCGGTGTTACGACTTGAGTTTAAATACTTTTTGATGAAATTCTGTGGGTATTCAACCTTTTTGAAGACGGTTATTGGTTATATTTCTCCCATTCTCTTCAGCGATTAACAAACATATTACTATAGACTAAATTTAGTAACTAATAAAATATGAATCACACCACAGGTAAGCTGACGTTCCAAGTCAATAAAAATGATCAATAGAGACGTAAATTAACAACTAGCCATGACAATGGTTGTCAAGGCATACAAATAAATATCATTCATGGAGAATTCGAATCACTTCATTTCATACTAAAATCTTCTCTGACAATGTTGTCTACAAGGAGAACGAAAGCTCTGCAATAAAATCAGCCAACTCAGAGAACACAACTAAATCAAAACCATCCACCTGAACTACAAATCTCCTCCATTATTTCAAAATTCTGAGGTAATATGCAGTTGTGGATAAGATTTTATGTGTAGCCATAACCAGTAGCAGTTTTATCAGTATTTTTGGTAAAAGCGTCCAGTATGAGATTAGTAAACCTATCAATATTATCTAATCATGAGACAGTTTGAGATTTTTTGGATGCAATCGATTTATCGAATGATGAATATAGATGAAGTGAAAATCCCGGTCACATCAGTATTTTAACCTCAAAATTACTGGTCTGGTGCTCTACCAGCTGATTTACGATATCCAGTGATTAGTTAGGCCATCACTTCAGTCTTCACGAGTAACATCCTGCTGTGTGTTTATCGTCAAACAAGCTGGCCACTTAGGTCTTCTGTCAATCCGAGTGACACTGAATCTGAAGGAGAAAAGTGGATTGTTAACTGGTGATAAAGCTATTTGAGACGCTAAAACTATGCCATAATTAGATTTATCTATAAATTCAATAAAAACCTTTTCTTAATGTTTAACTTTAAAATTTTATTTCAGTAAAATATTTTGTTGAAGATGGAGTTTTTGGGAATCATATTCCAACCAGGATGTTTATTAGTACTGGGAAATCATATTTAACTTTATTATTGTTATTATTATTATTGACTTCCTTTTAAGTTGAGTCACGTAATTGCTGTCATTCGTAATAGCGTTAGCAACTGCAATCTCTAATACTTTTTTTTATAAATTTCACAATTATTGCTTCAGTCTAGTGAGCAGCAGCGTAAATACTGGACAGGAAGTTATACAGCTCAGGAAACAAAAACTCATAATTTATTATGCGTATCAGTGTCATTACCAAAACATTATGAAACGATTAATGGCTTACCAAAGAACTGTTACTGAACAAGTGAGTTTCCAGTTTTACATAACACATCAGTTTAACCGATAAATTGCTGTTCACTGATGATTTGTCAGTGAAACGTTCCACTTTGTGTTAGTACAAAGCTGGTTATGAAAAGACTGAAACTTATATAAGTTCAGTCAAGCAAATGGACTGATTATAAATATCCTGACCATAGATGTTATGAATTTCCTGAATCGGATTGGATCATTACGTAGTTACTTAAAATCCCAGTGTATTTAGAATGAAAACAAGAACTCTCTGGACATTTTGTCGTGGCTTCTTCATCTGAATTCGTTGGATTTTACTAAAAATCAAGATATATAATCGACTAGTAGTAGTATTAGGGAACTTATCTGAAGGTATTTCATCAGTAAATAAATGTACCAATTGAATAAATGTAATTAAGCGTATATCTTAATTATTATTATTGTTCCCTTGGGTTCCTAGTGGAACATAGGGCTTCAACCGGACGCCTCCACTTGCTTCTGTCTTCTGCTGTACTTTTCACCTGAATCCATGTTAGTCCATACTGTTTCAACTCCTCTTCACACAATCTCCTCCATGTCACCATTGGACGTCCCACTCGCCGCTTCCCTTTCGGGTTCCACTCGAGGGCCTGACGCATGATGTCACCCAGCGGCCTCCTCAGCGAGTGTCCAATCCATCTCCACTTTCTCCTGCATATTTGTTGGGCGATTGGTTCTTGTTTTGTTTGTTCCCACAGTCACTGTTAAAATGTTATTGCATATTTCTGTATGTATGTGTGTGTATGTGTTGTTTATTGTATGAAGAATTTGTTATTATCACAAGTGATACCTGGAGGTTAAGAATATGTCAACGAATACTCTTTATCTATCTTGTTTCGTTAAAATCGGCCAGATAGGTGATAAGTTTATGCCTTCTCTCCTATCTGTCGCATGCAATATGGTTAAAATACGCAAGGCTTCAGATCTCGGCCTTTCTTTCTGTGAGTGAAAATCTTTTCCTAACCCTCCAATGCTGCCGAAATCAATCTTATTCCAGTTTCTTGAAGCATGCATCACAATAACTGATCTTTTCCCCAGACACTTTAATTCTACTTCACCAGTCTGTTGCTTATATGGCAAACTTCACATTCTGTACACTTTATCTTATCAACACAATCGTTTCATGTCATTTCAGGAGAAATATCTGTGAAACTAACTAAAGCTTGGAGTAACCAATAACACCATATTAAGTAAGTGCCTTTTGAAGTTATTCTGTCACGTCTTTTCAATGTGTAATGGCTATAATCTTCTATAAGAGAGATTTTTCTGTTTTCTTTTTCTTCCTGTTGAAAACGATGTTTAGAAATGGCGGGAAGAAAAACAAACAGAAAAATCTCTCTCATAGAAGATGATAGTCATTACACATTGAAAAGAAATGACATAATGACTTCAAAGAGCATTCACTTCATATGATGTTAAAGTTACCTTCTATGGTACAGAACTTTTCATTCTATTTTCTTCAACAGAAATGTCATTCTTGCCCTCCTAAATAATATACTTTGTGTAAATACTTCTCACCGTATTTCCGTGTTGTAAACCTTTTTGAAACATATTGCACCTTATTACACTGGTCTGTAGGTATATTTTACATACATTTTTACGTATCTGGTGGACTCGCTTAGGTGTAGGAATTCAAAACAACTTTAATCGACTATTCATGACTACTCGCTATACTTCATCTAATATTACAAGGTTTTGCTTATGGTTTGTATCAACAGAAATAACGCTTTGGATTCTTTCGGTGAATAATATAAGTTTGCATATGTAATATGGCAAAACTTTCTTCGGAATTGAAACTGCATATTAGTTACAATTGTCAACAAATTCGTAGACTCAATTAAAGAGAATTTCTACTCTCTTCACCCTCTTACTTTCAGAGCTGAACGCAACATTACTTACGTCTCATAACAAAAAGATGTAAACAGCGAAGAAAATTTTCTTTTTGACGATTCATTTTCATAAGATAATAATTAGAATCAATATTATGGTAAGAACTTTACTCTTGCCACGGTAGGACGAGTGAATGTATGTAACGCTTTTGGATGCAAAGGTCCGGTTTCAGATCCTGAGTAGATAATGATTCAGCCATGCACAGATGGGGTATGCGAAGTTCCTTTGTACGATATTGAGGAACTCTGTGTAGCACTGTGAAGCATTCATGCGGGGGTGCTCGATGTTTGGAGATGACAAGGTGTTCGAGGATGGAGCTGTTGCTGTTGTTCTTTTCTTCTCTGGCTAACCAAGCTGGACAGTGTTCCAGAATACGTATGTGGACTTGACGTTGCTTACGGCCGATATACATTGCAATACACGAGCAAGTAAATTGATAAATACACACTGAGGACGCCAAAGAGGTATCTGATCCTTAACGTTAGACTGGACTAACTGTCTGAGGGAGGATGTGATACGTAAGGTGGCTGCTGTTTGAACCGTCTTCTCCAGGCATTTAGAAAGGCGGTTTCTCAGGTCATGAATTAAGGGTCCTCGATGCCACTTACCACTGAAAAATGGAGAGTGTAATACTGTTTATTTTTCTTGGATTGCTCATACTGTAACAACAAAAGACAAGGGCCAGGCAACAGATCGTTTATTAAGGAAATCAACACATATTTATATATTTTCATGTACATTATTATAGTTTAGTTAAGCAAACAACACAGTCTTCTGATTGGTTGTTTCTCACTCAAAGTTAATCTTTCATCTCTTTGTGGCTGTTTCTTGAATGTCAGATCATCTATATGTTAACTGTATCCGCCTACGCAAAGTCTGCTGTGGTCCGTTTTGAATCAATCTTTGTTCATATTTTCTCACGACAAATCTTGAGAACGTAAACATTGACGTAAATTACTGTCTACCAATTTGGCTAATAGACAGCTCTCACCACACTCGTCCCCCCGTCAAATAGTTTGGACTGAAGTCGGCTTAATCTTCTTGGTGCTGGCGTCATCGTTGGCTTGTCTCGCTCTATCCATAACTGGAGCTCGGTGATGTTCACCCGCTTCTCTCTGTTTGCATTTTTGATGGTATATACGCGCCCCCGTCTCGCGGTGACCGTGTATGGTCCTTCCCACTTTGGTAGCAGTTTCCGCGACCCTGGCACGTATCCGCCGGTGTTTCGCCTATCTCTACATTTGACTTGATCTCCGATCTCGAATGCTGGGTACTTCTCCTTTACCCTCAGTTTGGCTTTCACAGCGTCCATTTTCTGCTTTCGTTTTACGTTGTTGATGGCTTTTTTCCGCTCCGTCCTCCATTTCGTCATACTCCAATGCTGATGGAGGGGCTAGGTCTTGTTATGTAACGGTAGTCGTGGTTTCCTCCCACACATCAACTGAAATGGTGCTTTCTTCGTCGTTTCTTGCGCGGACGCACGATGTGCTAGCAGCAACCTTTTCAGTCGGAAGAACTGTTTGAACTAAACAGGAGTATTATGGAGATATAAACAGGCAAAAATAACAACACTGTTTACTGTTTTCAAAATACATACGTCTTAACAGCACTAATTGATTAGGAATCTCAATGCTGCACTCAGTTTTTTTACATCTGCGGTATAGATAGTAGCTAAAAACACGGTGTTTCATCGTAGATTTGGGTCTTATGGTTCTCAGGAATCATTTAGAAGACGTTTCTACAAACTTAGTGATAATTCACAGCACTCGTATATATGAAGAATGTTGGGTGGTTCAAGGCAATCGATGGGAATACCTAAGCCTAAATATCAACCTTTTTTTAAGGCTTACCAGGAAAGCATACCTGCGAATTTGATATGGAACTTGTGATTTGCCGAAGATCCAAACTCGTCTCATCCTGGACTGCATTCAACGACGTCACCACTGCAACCACTACTCTTCTCCTCGAAGCTGTCAACTGATACACTGATCAGCAGCCAAGGAGGAAACAATTTTTTTGTTCATTAGTGTAACATGGAAACATAACTTAAAAAACTCTATTCGAATAATGTGAAAATAAATTTGCTTCAAATGCCCTCTCTTCGTACGTAAATTGTGACAATGTCTCATAACAATTTCCTTCAATGGTATCATGAATTAGAATTAGCAGTTTTAACTGATTGAAGATACCCACTACAAATTTTAGAGACTGATCACTGAACAAGGAATATTCTTTTCGATAACTTCGTTATCAGGTTCTACAGTTTCTTGATCATAATTATTTAAGACATTTTTGTTAACAGAATAAGTCTTTCAATTATTGGTTTGTAGGGACTTTGTTTGATGGTTTGGAGGATTTCATTATGAGCTGAAATTTGTTAGAGAGCCATTGGAAAACCTAGGAGTACTGAACGGCTGTTTCGTTCTAGTTTGGGACTTTTCAAAGCACGCACACACCGCCAGGGTTCAAAACCCAAGACCTTCTAGTTACAAGGCGAACTTGCAGACCATAAAGCCACTGGAACCCGATTGAAATTGCGCTGAAACAATAATATCGACAGATTCCCTTCAAAAGCACCTGAAAATGGTAATATGAGTCAATATAACACCAGACTAAACATGAGGAAAGTAATAGAGAATTTCATGTATTTATAGGTTTCACAACATGACAGGGTAGCAATAATCGTTGAAATTGTTTCTTTTGCATATAGATCTCCGCTTGTTCTAATTGAATTGCAATAGCCTGATTGAAGTTTCCAGGATCTAGAGGCCTTTGCTAATTTATTCAGTATTTGATAGATGACAGGAAAAGATTCTCCAAAACTACATTTGTGTTCTGTTTGAACGAGATGGTTCAATATAGAATTGTTGATGGTTTTCAGTACACCTGTATTCTTTTCTAAATTTATCTGATATTTAGTTTAGTGTTGTATTTGTCCATATCACTTACATTTGCTTTAGAATTTTAATCTATCGGTAATGTTGATTCAGTATGATTTAAAACAGTTATGTTGTTATTAACAATAATTCTTTGATTATTAAGGCCACGTAACTGTATAACCTGATGACGAAGTTGTCATAAATGATA